AAACTAAATCATCCAAGATATTGTCCTGAAATCATGATCAACGGACATTCACTGACAAAACGACCGCCCATCCTTGATATATTGCCGCCTTTGTTCTAAATTCTAGAAATCAATGCTGCTCAAGCTTTAAACTGAATCGGGCTCATTCAGTCTTGCAATAAATCAAAGAAAGCTCCGCCTATGGATTTAACTCTCTAGTAAGTCCACGCTCAAGGTTAACGAGGATGGGCAATGAGGAGGAAATATTATGGCCACATAATTATGCCAAAGTAAGGGTGTAAAATATCACAAGCTTCTAAAAAAGTTAAATGCTTTACCGTCACTGCTATTTATGTTATATTCTGACACTGCGCTTGAGTTATTGCTTTCTCTAATGCGTCCCACAAATAAACAGGATTTGTTTTTAATGCTGGTTATAAACTTAGAAATCATCATGCAATTTTGAATCCAATCTGTAAAGCTATAAGTCTTAAGAACTTCAACATGTAAAGGCATATGCCTTGACTACTTAGTAATCTCCTCCTTCTGACACGAAAGTTAGTCTCTGAACTTAGCAGGGTTACCTGCCTTCCATAAAGTCATCGTTTTCTATCACTGAAAAACAATTATCATTGAACACTAAAACGAAATGACACGACCAAGATGGTAGTGGCACAAGGGACTTGGTTTTGGGCTCTCGGTGGGATTCTATCGGTGTCAACAGTTCTTGGAAATGGCTTGGTGATATATCTTATTATTTCAAGGAAGCGTCTTCACAAAACAGTGAATTGGTTCCTGTTTTCGCTCGCTGTGGCTGATCTTTGTGTCGGTTTAGTCCATTTTCCATCAGAGGCCTGTATGTCTGCGTCACTTTGCAGCAAGTGTATAACAACAGCCGTGCGACGGTTATTTCTTAACTTATCGATGACTAACTTATGTTCGCTGACAGTTGATCGCTCCATCGCAATTGTTACACCGTTGAAATATTCTGTATTCAAGACAAAAAGACGACATTTGTTCCTAATTTCAGTAGCGTGGATTTTACCATTTGTTGTTCATTTTGTTCCATTCACATGGATGTACTGTGCTGGGATGAAAAATGCTGTGAGAAACTTTTTGACAGTTTTATTGTTCGTATTCAATCTTCCTCCCTTTCTGTTATTATTTATAGCTTGCTGGAAAACTCTATACATTGCGCGGAAGCAAAAAAAGCGAGCGAGTGTTCAACTTACTCAGTTATGTTTTAACGGCTTTTGTCGCCAGAGTGTTAGCGCTATCAGGTCTCAAACTCAAGCAAGCACATTTGCCAAAGCTCTTGGAATCGTAGTGGCCATCTTTTTGATTTGTTATGCAATTGACATCGCTCGGCTTATCTGCTATACATTTCACTGCTCAAAGTACATTCCATGGCTTGTTGTAAATCTGCAAAGCTTGCTATTCGCATTCAACTCGGCAAGTAATCCAATAGTGTACGCTTTTCTTAAGCAAGACATTTGCAGGGAACTGAAACATCTTGTCAAATGTTTTGTTCACTAAACATTTTTGCATTAAGTACCGTTTGCATTTGGTGTCTACAAGGTAGCTCCTCGTCGCCATATAACCGAAAGAACTTTTGAAGCTCTGCATAGGTTACTGTTAATACAGTTTATTTTTTTCTCTCCGTTTTTTCACCAATTAAGAGTTATTAGGTTTTGCTCACTCGCACAAAGTGGTGTGAGTGGCGCGGAAAATGAGCGCAAGATCGACTGTACGACGGTAAGGCACCGCTCTCTAAGGTTTTTCGTCTTCTTTAGAAAAATAATACACCCTGAGAGTAGCCGCTATACTCAACTCTGATCTAAAACATATTTTAGCCAATCACAGCGCATGCAGATATAAAGTGAAACCAGAGGTGCGCATGCTTACTGCGCGCGCAATCTACCCGCACGTCATACATCACATGCGCGGCGCGCCAAGTAATGAAATGATTTTACCCAGATCTAGTCCCTAAACTCTCCCTTCCTTGCCCTAATACTACGTATGGGTTTTAACCTCTCAGTCCAGGATAACTTGCCTTGAATTACATCTTAATGAGTCTGGTGATGAAAAACACTGGGGTGCCGATGATTGTGGAAAACCCTTTATTGAATCCGAAACTCATAGGGGGGTTTCTGATGGTATGTCTTATTATCTTTTGTTTGTCCACTGTGTAGGTTCTATATGTTTGTCACAGTCCAAGAACAGTGAACAGACATAAAAGAACAATCAACAATGTGGCATTTATTTTTTTTTAAAATGCAGCATATCAAAATTTAACGTTATATACATCTGCCATAATAGAGAGACCACAATCTTGAAACTTGACTGAAAACGAATTAATTGACACAAAACTGAAATCAGGAAGCAACTGGGATATTTCAGTATACTAAAAAGGATAATTGGTCCTACAAAAAACACACACCACAGAGATCTACACATGACAAAGTAATTCTTGAATTAATAGTTACAAGTTTCTCAATCAGTAAGAGTTTTTTGTACGATAAGAGAGAGAGACATCAAGACCCATAAAAAGTATGTGGGATGAGTCTTTTTCTGGGGTCTGTGTCTTCATCAGTGGGGGGCTCCTTGTTAGGATCACCTCCTCGCTCAAGATACAGATTGTTAAAGGGGTATTTCTTTGGAACCTGAAAAATGCAAAAATTGAAACACAGTCAAGGCCTTTTGCCAAAGATGCAATTCATTTACAGTCCACATTAGCAGAACAACAACAACAACAACAACAACAACAAAAGATATCAGGCTACTACCATCTGCAATGAATATCATGTTTTAGATCTTGTTTTAGTTACTGTTTGTCAGAAGCATGTTAGTTGTTTTGTGATAATGCATTAGGAAGAAGAACCCATCACCATTCACAAACTGGTGGTGTCAACTGAGCATTGAAAGAATGCATGGCAAGCAGTGCTACTAAAATCACCAAACCATGGAGTGGGCTTGAATTTTCGAACAGTGACTACTCCCACCTTCTTTTGCTGACCTGCCCACAATCCTTCATGTTGTTCTGAGTTGACTGTTAGAGCGAAGTTCAAACTACATGTAAAGGCTGGGAAAGGGAAAGAAGCGGATATTTTAATGCATTTATCTGCTTCTTTTGCTTTCCCTACCTTTAGTTTAAACTTCACAAAAGTCAACTCAGAACAACACAAAGAAATTTTAAATTCATGCTTTTCCTTGGTTAGTTTAATAACTGTTCCTAGCATTTCCAACAATTGCACCAGGTGAAGTTCTAAAGTATCTTTTTCCTCTTGATGTTTACAGAATGTGTCTTATGGTGTACAAGTATTGCATACTGCACTGTAAGTGCATAAAATAATTGCCTACCGCAGGGTTTCTGTCGGTCTGATCATAAAGGTAACAAAGATATCCAACAACACAAAGAAGGGCTATAGCAACACCCAACTGCCCTGCTGCTTCATACCTGTAAATTATAAATAGTTAAGTTTTATCTGAGTACTCATCTTTGATCAAGATAAATAGCGTAATTCAACAGTAAATGTCAAGGAGCAAAATACCAAGTGTGTAAAGGGTACAGTACATGTGTATGCACCATAGCTTGCAGCCGCTACCAGCTAAGGCCTCTGTCAGTGTGGTGTGACATTTAAGCTGCCACATTAACTGTGTAGTACTGAACATTTTGTTGTGCGCACATTCAAGGCTGCTGTCTAAGACAAATTATGAGGAGTTGAATGGTTCCTAACCATTAACTCCTGGGTGCCCAGCACTTAAGCTCAATGAATTAAAAAGTGAGTTTTTCCAGTTGCCCAAAGGCAAAACTTAGTCACCTGTGGCACCCGGGCACTTCCAGAGCACAGCCCTGACACTTAAAATCTGGTCAGTCTGAGTTCAACTCGTCGCTCATTTTCAAAATAGATATCTGACCACTGTTATATATTAATAATGATTATAAAAAAGTCAAAGAACTGAATCATATGTAATCTACACGTATCAGACTGCAAATTAGTAACTCTTGCATACATGTATAGTATTTATAGTAGTATGCATATTTGCATCAATAAAATACAATATTATTATGTTCAGCCCGCTACATTTAACGTGGGACCCTGTTCAGACAAACACTTTCTGTGGTCCTCACAGTGTCCATATCAACAGACAATGAGTCAATCCATTCATTTTTCATTTTGAAAAATATACTCACGGTGTGTATCTGTCATTGCAATCAGTCTCAGCCATAATCCAAACATTCAATGCATCTTCATCCTGATGTATCTGATATAAGGTAAGAAATCAATTGTTCAATGGCTGATAATCATACAAAATATATGTATCGTCATGCACAACAAGCGTATTTATACGTCCTGTAGGTAATACGCACAATCCAATGCTCTGTCAGAAAATTATGAGAAATTTATTCATTTATGTTGACCATCGTACAGACAATGTTCACACTGTAGCTGCATACAACAGTACTAAAGTTGTGACTTAGTAGAGGGTCTAGATACTGGTCTTGGGATCTCAGTTATCATTCAGCCAGTTTCTCAGTTATCAGTAATTATTGTTGCAGATTCTAATCTCAGCTGTCAGTTGAAAACACATCATTTCTCAGTTGACAGTTAAACTTTTGACCAGTTCTCACCTATCAGCTAAATCCCATCCAGAGACCCCTAAGTACCTTTGCGTACCCTCATATTCGGAGAGTAGCTAGTTTGGCAGGGGTATTTTGAAGACCGCCGAACACCAAATGCACTGTTTGCTTGCGGTTTAGTAGTTTCACTCATGTTTGCTTGCGGTTAGCTTTTGTTTCTTAAGGACAGCATTATGTTGCATATGGCCTTGTCCAACAAATAAAAGCTAACCGCAAGAAAATATAAGTGAAACTAACCAAAAGCAAACAGTGCATTCGGCATTCGGCATTCTACAAATTACCCCTGTCATAGCTAGTTCAACACATAAACAGCAAAAATGTGTCAGTAAACTTTTATTTCAAAATATTTTTTCTCTGAGAGTGATTTTTGTACAATCACTCCACACTTTTTAAATTCTATTTTAAAAATGTTCTGTAACTTTTCACTGCAATTGAATATGGTAAAACACAGACACTTGTTTTTAGTGTTTAGAGTCCAGAAACTGTGGAACAAATTAGATTACTGAAAACAATATTCCCTTTGACTTGCTGCTCTCAAAAGGCGATTCAGACACTCGCAGTTAGAGGTTACGAAAAATACAACAATTCCTTTGACATGTTTTTCAAAATTATTGGTATAATTTGTCAGCCAACTCTATAAGCTTTAATTTGATATGGGAGTTTTGGTATCTACAGTTTTCAATTTTTATTGAATGAATATGCTATTAATAGCTTTTAATATAATCATGATTATGGTAGTTAGTTATGTTAATTTTAGTAGTGGGATATCTGTTAACTAGCTGTATGGCTGAGCATATTGCCAGTTTAAATAAAGTATCCTATCCTATCCTACATTGCTTGGACAAGAGACACCTCTACAGGTATACTGTATACTGGCTGCCTGACACTTAGCACCCCTATCATTTTTGTTTTTAATCTATATATGTAACTTTGTAATAAATTATTTCTAACTCTGGGTGAAATACATGTAAAGGTATTTGTTGTTTGTTGTTTCGTTGTTGTTATACACATGTATGGTAACCTTAATCTATTCTTTGGACACTTACTGGTTCACCAAAGTTTCTACGTTCCTGTGGATCCCACCATCCTTTGTGCTGTCTCCTCTGGTTAGAAATGTCTGGCAGATTAGGGTAATCACCCAGGGCATAACCATCATCTTTCCATTCACGAGTGAAGCCTTTCCAGTCATTTTCCGGAGTTGGGAGAGGAAACTTTTTGTGGTCATCATGTGCTGTGTCAATGAAGTTAGAAAAATTATTTTACTCATTTAGATTAAATATAAGGAAACTGCATAACAGATTAACATTAAATTAGTTTCCTGCAAGAACTTTTCTACTAGTCTATTTAAAAATTGATATCTGCCGCTTCAGTGATTCTCACAGGATGGGGCATCTCTTGTGTGACTGCAACACTCAACTGCCATGATACAGCTGCACATGGTGCTATGGTAATACTTAACACTTAATGACTGGTCCCGAGGGGAACAGTGAATTTTGTATCCCTTGAATCTCAATTTCAATGTTTCAATTTCAATGTTTCCCGTGACTTCGTCTCGGGAGACATTGAAGTTTGAGGCAAACAAAATTCAGTCATTAAGTGATTTGTAATATAGCAAAACGAAACAAAAGCACATTTTGAAAAACGCCCAGCAACAACATCAGGCCACCATCAACTGCATGCTCTGATCATGTGCAAAAGCAGTCAACATTTTGCAGGTAACAGTAAACTGTTTCCCGTTTGATGTCATAGTTTTCGCAATGTTGCCCACTCATGGTATTTGGCGGCAACAAACAGTTTCGTTGTTAGATGTCATGTGACCATGAACTAGCCAATGAATGGGTATGCTGTAGCGGGAAAAACACCAGTTATATGACAAATGATGATAATAATAATAAGATTAGATTTAGATAGCGCTAAAATTATAGCATACGTAGGGAATTGGAACTCACAGTCCTAAGACAAATGACATGGGTAGTGCGATAAAGTATTTCTGTTCTCAATTTTACACTGTCATAACCCATGTACATGTACAAATGTTACCAATAACTTATGAATTTTCCCTGCCTTCTCACTTCTGTCTGTCTATTAAGTATCTGTCTGAATTTGACCAGGTATCTCATAGGCAACAAAGGCTATTTTGGTTTTTGTAGCATGAAGCGACTATTTGTAAGAGTATTTTTACTCTCCCTGGATGAAAGGAAATCCATTGCAAGGTCACTGGTAGCAATTACATGTAACTAGCCAGTACCCATTTACACATGTTGGTGGAGTGAGACACTACAAAAGGAAAGTGTTGCATTGGGATATTCCATTTTTTATCCACATCACCACTATGGAGGGCAACCTCTGTCACAGGGCCTATTAGAAAAATTCTTCAAAGGAACTGACAGAATTTTGAACCTCTTGGATGCAAACTTCAAAGGTGCCGACAATGGAACACTAGGCTGTCAGAATCTGCCCTCCAAAGAGGTGGGGGTGCGAATAAATAACACAATGGGCCATCAAAGTGTCTCACTCAAGAACAAAACACACTGACCCCATCCACATTGAACCAAGATTGCTTAATCAGAGTCCAGTGCACTAACCAACATGACACCACATCTCCAACATTTGTCCACTTTGTAATGACAAAAATAGACAGAACAGTACGTAGTCTAANCATATTCGTGCTACAAATATGCCAACTATCAAAAATACAGTGTATAAGTTCAAAAACAGCGACCTACTGTAGTCGATCGCAAGTTAATTAAGCCGGTATTGTATTGAAGCTCAACTTGAAATGGCTACATTCGTGATCGTTATAACTTCCAAAACGAGAGAGTAGACCAGATATTTTCTAATTAATCCATAACAAACCTTTTCTAATTCCTAGCAAAACTTGTGGCCTCAGTATGGTTCGGCGAAGAACGGCTTGACCCAGACGCAATCCCCCTTGGGCAGCCATTTTGAAAACCACCAATCATCCGGGTCTTTTAAAAGTTAGAAATCATCGGAACAATTCGAGAAAAAACGAATGAAACCGGAATAATCCGAAGATTGAGCTCTTCTCGCCGCCGACTGTTGTCATGGCAACTTCTCGCCCGGGAGTACAGAAGAGAAACAATATGGCGGACATTACAATGAAATAATTATACATACCAAAGACTGCGGCGTTAAGTTGTGTTTGAAAAGATTGCTTGTTTGATAAATAATTCAGTTGCGGAGATTGGAGTTACTTTAACGGATTGAGACGTTATGAGTGCTCAAAGGCGAAGTAGCTCTCGAAATGGGAGACGAACTTCCACAGGGACTCCGAAGTCCCCTGCTTCTGGCGGATTAACTTATCCAACAATACGACAAAGAGGTTATTACTCTGATATCTTGGGAGGAGGATCGAAAGATGAGCTTGGGGTAAGTTTAAAAATCCAAGGAAACCTGAGAGAATGATACATGTGTATAATTAACCATGGAGGGATTTTGAAACCCAGTGTTAGACATGAAGCTGAAAAGTTCATTCTGTTTTTTATTTACATTGAAAATAATCTCGTCCATCTTTGCTGTAAATGTTTCAGCTACTTGTCCTTATTACATTTCTATCTACTCCATTTTCAATGTGGCAATAAATGATGTAAGCTTCGATACAGTTAGTGAATTAAGCTACATGTAATATAAATACCTACATGTATAATGAACGTTTGTAACAAAATCGTTTTAACAGAATATCACTGGTGGCCCTGCAGCATCAAGAAGTACATTATGGAAAACAGCAAAAGTGAAGCACATGCCAGAAGGTATACACTATACTCAAGTATTCTTTGTCTACACCTGACAATTCCTAGGATGTAGTTCCAAGGAAAGAATGCAATTTATATGTTGTGGCACAATTTTATCCTTTATTGAGTATAATCTTTTCGTTTGTTTTTGCGTATGATAATACATGATAAGGACTAGAAACAAAGAAAAGGTCAAAACTGAACCAAGGTTATAATAATTATAACCTTGGTTCAGTTTCATTGTATTATTATACCACAACATAGATGTTCATGTAGAGAAGTTACGTGGACCGTACATAATTTACGTGCACAAGGATATGAACACTGTAATCTGAGAAATTATGTAGGCCAATTTCTTTGCTCTCCATTGCTTGGTGTAAAATGATCGTGAGAATAGTGCTTAATTAGCTGCATTCACACGCTAGGCTACATGTATATGCAGCAAAATGTGATTGGTTGTTTTGCCATTTCTACACATAATTTTGTAAGTAATTATTACAAGTCAGTGGTATACACACATGCAAGAAGACATACATGTAAACTTCCAGTCTAGAATGAGATCTAGTGAAATAGTTTGACTGGAAGAGGAACAAAAAAAGTCCCAGTTGAATTTTTTAGCTTACTCACCAACCGGATAAGGCAGTGTGCAGTACTTGGCTGGAAAGTATTTGTCTCAAGACCATGGTATACAAATGCACATCAATTTATACTTTGACATAGACAATAGAGCCAGTCAGTATAAATGAATGCTGCTGTATTCTCTAATTTCCTCAAATGCTAGTGTTGCAAAAGAGATTGAAGGATAATTAACACAGTAGCCTCCATTTAGCGTGAAAATATGCTTGGATATTTGTCCTTGGACATTATCTGTTCCTTGAAGCTCTTTTTGGAACAGATTATGTCTTCTGCGGACAAATATCCGTATAATTTTGTGCGAAATGGAGGCTATTGTTTATATATCCCACCTCTCACTTGTATTTTTCTTGGTTTACATACTCGCCAAATGGTTATGAGAGTTTGTTCTACAGGGATTCTACTCGATGTATTTCTGTTAGTGACTACATGTATATGACCAGGTGGAAGAATATTTTAATTGCATTACATGTATAACAGGACTTGGTTATGAATCAAAGGGGTGTGTTAATTATCGGAGGACCACTTTATTTTCCTGTGTGTATTTTTTCCAATATGAATTCCATTTGTTACTTTGTAGTACAAACATTCAAGGGACCCATGTCAAGTCAGGCTTTGAGTTCACTGTTGCAGGATCAAGTTCATGGGCCAACAACAGCACCCATCACAGTTTCTGTAAGTACTTGCACATGATGTATGATTGGTATCCTTGCTTGCTACACTATTCATGATAAGCAATGTTGTTATGTCTTTGATTTCTGTGCCTGCTTTGTGAGTGGTGCCCAGGCTAGTCCCTGCAACAGAACAATTGAAAAACTAGGTAAACTTTGAGTAAAGTAACAGTAAGTCAGATTTGCAAGTTGACCAAGATGTTGATCATTTTTAGTGAAATAGATAATTAGTTACAAGCGGTACCCTCCAACTTCCTGTAACAAAAAATGCTCACCATGTGTTGTTGTTTGGGTACAGGTTTAGGGCTGTGGTCTAGCAGAGCTCGGGTGCCTCAGGCGACTAAGTTTTGTATTTAGGTGACTTGTTTAACTTTATTCTTATGAAAGCTTGTCAGAGTTGGGCACCCAAGATTTCCTACATAAGAACCCTTGGGCACCTTATGATTTTGCTTAGAGTACAGGCGTGAGGTTGTACAGGTATATTTTAACTAAGGTCAAATGATTTTGCTACAGTGTACACTGGCACTTCTAAAAAAATACAAAATGACATTTGTTGCAGGACTTTCCAGAGAAAGCCTGGGAACCTAAGGTTCAACTCCCGTATAAGGCAGAACAAGGCCAAGTTCCCAGAAAAATTGAGATTGAAAGGTTTGTACTGTTTGCTGTGTACTGGAAATCATGCTTTATGCATCTGTATGACTACTGTCAAATTGTTGAGATACCCCAGTGCTCAAGGTTTTACTTTTATTATCAAGAAATAGTACAAACCCAGCTGTGACATGCACTGTGCAGGTAAAAAATACCTTCTCTCCTAAATCAAGTTTGTTTTATAAATTAGGTCATTTCACAAGACTAGTATTTTAACCCTGGCCTAACTTCTTGGATTAGATTGGACTTATAATGTATGCATCAGTTTAGAGTAGTTCCTTGAAATTGTTGCTGAACTCCTTTCTGGGATAATAAATTGCTTTACAGGCAAAAGCGGATATTTGCCAAGCAAGACATAAACTTGCTGTTAGAAGACCTTGGAGTTAAGACCTCTGATCTTATGCCTAAAGGAGACTACAATATGAGAGTAAATCTCACAGGACCAGATGCTGCGTCATTTCCACCCTTCTTACCTCTTCACACATTTGATGACTCAGAGTTTGATTGTCGTAATCCTAATGAGTGGCTGGAACTGGGTTTTGTTGATGGAAAGCAGCACCCAGTACCAGGAAAAGCCCTCTTGTCAAGAGATGATGGTAAAAATGGAAGAGAATATGCCTGGACAGATGTTGGTACACTAGACTATGATGCTGAAAAACAGTTATTTTTAGTGCAAGTTGTTGGTACAGGAGGCCTTCAGCACAATGTTATACCAACAGCAAATGGGGTGGCAGAAAATGGTATAGTTAATGGGGACACTCTGAATGAGGAACCCAAAAGGAAACACTCCAAACTTGAAGCCCAACAGGTTTGGGTTCCACGAATACAGCTTTTGTTTGCTGCTGAGGATCCAGTGAACTTTGCCGAGAGAGTAGCCAAAGCATATGCTCTGCGTTGTGAAACTGAGGCATTGCTGAGGTACAATCTGTATGTTGATTGCATGCCAATGGAGGGTGTGGTGAGGCTTGATCCCAGCTCAGTGGAAAGAATGATCACTTGGGCCAAGGGAACCAGAACACTAAAGAATGACAAGAAGTATGTGCAAAATAATTATTAATTATAGTAGATAGTTTTAATTACTTTGAAAGCCCTTCTAGTGATAAGGATTAATTATTGTTCTCTTTTTTTTGCTTGTTTGTTACAAGGCACACTTTATAACACCCCGTAGCTGTGTACAATTCCACATGTGTACAAAGGGGTGACATATATGTACAAGTACAAGTGCACAGGGGGTGTGTATTTCCATAAATCATCTGTTTAGTAATGAAGTGATAAATACATTGTGAATGTTGTTTTCAAGCCATCCATTGCATTATTTTTGTTACAATAATTTCCACAGCTTGGATGAACATGTACGTCTATTGTGCAAAGAAATCCAGGTGGATTTTTCACGCAGCATGAACAGGATCACATTTGACAGGATTGTTAGTAGTAAACCAGAAACTTATCCCTTTGTAACTGTTCCACAAGAAGAGGTGGAGGTGATTCCTGAGCGAGGTAGGCCCCGTTGTGTGCCGTTGTAGTTATACTTTATGTGAGGAGTGGCAACCTCAGGTCTGTGGGATGGGTGGGGGGGGTAGCATTACTCATACTACAGAAAACTAAGAAAAGCTGCAGCAGTGTGGGCCACTTTGGCTTGAGTGCAAGGTAGTGCAACATGTCCATTTAGTGGAGTCATCATTTTTGTTGCCATCATCATCATCATCATCATCATCATCATTAGCACTATCATCATCTAAGTTGTTGTCCTTGATGTTGCAATCAGTATCTACACAGTAATTTTGTGAGATATGTGAATTGTTGAAAACCATGCTTCGTCTAAGTGTCAGGAGTTTTCAAAGAGTTCACCACATTTTTCCTCACAGAACACAGCTTTTGCAACTTCCTTTCCTACGTCTTGAATCTTCATGTCACCCACCCACTCTTGGGAGGTTAGACAGCAAGATTATCATTAATTGTTCTTCTGTTTCTTTTTTTCATGTAGAAATCCGTTTTTCTTTTGCTTTAGGTTTTCACCCAGATGTTCCTTCATATCCCTTCGATGAGAAGTTTGACAACTTTGCCTTCAACTGTCTGTTGACACGTGAAGAAGCCATTGTGGCAATGGCTAAAGTGAGATCTGAATGCAATAAAGTTGCCAGCATGTCTGTATTCCAGGTTCCTGTCTCAAAAAGCATGAAGCTTGAAGAGTTTGAACAGACACAAGCACAAGTCAGCACACAGGTAAGTACTCAGTTGAATATAAGTAAAATAAACATAACAAGAATGTGAAAGCAAGGAAGTCCTTCTACAGTTGTACTGTAACTTCCTGTGGGTACTTACAGTGTAAAGCAACATGGACCTATTAATAATCGTGGAAGATTCTTGGGGGTGGTGCTGTGCATGTAGCTCAGCATTTATCGCATGGATTATTGTATTCATTATCAGGTACAGATATTTTTGCGAGACAGCTGGCTTAACACCCTGAGGACAGCCATTCGTAGCAGCTTGTTGGATGTTGGCAAGGGATGGTTTAACATGGAAGAAAGGAGTTGGGAAGTGTACCAAATCTCAAAGCTTGCTAAATTTATGCAACTGGTCAAATTTGCCATGCAGGTACATGCACATTGTATCAGTTTTAGTCTCTATAGAGGGGTCATGAAATGATAGTTTGAAATTTGTTTGATGCAGGGTAATAGTGAAAAAGTAAATCTATTAACAGTTTGGTTTCCTGAGTGAAAATACAGTGAAAGCTAGTACTACAAACACAAGTGTCGTAGTACTCTTAGAGTCTAGTTCCTGTGGTTTAATGTTGGAACACTCTCACTTGCCTTTCTCTGCACAGTTTATTGTTATGGGGGAGGGGGGTTCCAAGGGGTGCAGAATCAGGCAAATAAACTGAGGTATTCACAACTGTAACTTACTACAGGTATCTCATCAGAGGTTGCGTGACTAACAATACAGGGTATTACTTTCTGCAGTTGTTACATTGTACATGACTGTTGCCTTTCTCTTTGTGTCTGCTAGGATTCACTGCGTTATTTGGTGCAGGATTCCTTGGTAGCTTTTACCCAGATGATCCAAGATGCCACATTCAGCGTGATGGACTTAGGGGAAGACTTTGACTGGGGTGCAGATATCATAAACAGCAATTACAAGTAAGCAGCAAAAGTATTCACTATTTCACAATGCTAGAGGATCACAAGAAGAGCTTTCAAATGAAGACCAAAAGATTTCAGTGATTTGAAACTCAACAGTGTAATGTCCTTCCAAAATCCTTTTTACACACTGTAGTTAAGTGAGCCAATAGAGCTATGGAAGAATTATAAGTTATTCAAGGTAAATATCTGTCAATCAGAGAGCTGAAATTTTTCTTACATTGACAACTATAAATCCACTGCAGACCCAAGAAGAATGCCCTGTTTATGTTGGACCTGTCATTGGAGAAGACAGGTGTTCAGTACAACACAGACCTTGAGAGCTTTGGGCGTGTGGTCATCACACTGTTTGACAAAGGAATCACATGCACAAAGAATGTGCCACAACTGGAAAAAATAGTTATTGAAGGATTATTCTGGAGTGGCACACCTCTTCTTGAGTCTGTTGGTGAGAATGAACCTGAGGTGGTGAAGCTGAGGGAGACTGTACGGCATGCCATCAAACAGTCACTCATTCCGCTGAGGGCTTATGCTAAACAGTATGAACAGTACCTTGACCTTTACAACATGGATATAAACCAGTACCTCGTGTGAGTAACTTTGCCTTAAACTTTAATATGTCTTTATTAAACTGTTCACGTAAAGCTTTCCAATATCTTATCAAGCCCAATCAATTGAAAGCCAAAAACTTATTGCTTGCAAAAACTAAGACTTGCATACATGATTGATCATCACAGTCACATGTACACACACAACTTAAGCAGTTGTGAAATTAAAGCCTGAAAAAAATTCAGGCCTGAAAGGGATTCGAAACCATGACCTCTGCAATACTGGTACAGTGCTCTACTAACTGAGCTATCAAGCTAACTGGGAGCTGGTCACATTGTGAAACTAAGACTCTCATAAGGAAGGGTGGATTGTCTACATTGTACATGTAAGTTTTAACATCTACATGTATTTGTACAGCAAAAGGTACCTGTCTCTGTCTGTGATTGTTGTACTCATTATTGTCTGAACAAAACATTGAACACACTGCAATCAGGCTACATACTGTACATGTACATGTATGTACATGTAACATGTATGTAACTTGCTGCCCAGTTCAAACATATGATCTTTCTTGTATTCACTTGCATTTTAAGATGTACTGTGGAGAGAAAACACGATTTTTTTTTCAAGCATATCATTTGATTGAAATTATAAACGTTTTTTGATGTACTAGTGTCACTAATTTCCAACAATTAAATTATTTAGTGAGTATGATTCTCAAGAAAGATCAGCTGCAGAAGTGAAGCAGGAGATTGAACGACATCTACAAGACAAAGAGACTCTGGAGAACTCTCTGCCATCTAGCATTGTGATTGGTCCATACTGGATCTCGACTGAAGGAGTTAGGCAGGCACTTGCAAAGAAACGAAAAGCACTGGCAAATGCCGTTATTGAGTTGCTGGCAAAGAAACTTCGCAAACAAGCTGATATGGTGTGTAATATCCTCACTGATGTAGACACGTTTGGGGAACAGTCATTATAATTCTACTGACAGGGTCATATATGTTGTTTATATCGGGGAGGTTGAGAGAAATGGGAGATTTAGCTATTACACTTTCATCATCAGTTGTGTCTCTTTGTATGGAGAGTGGGGCCAGACATTTTACTTCTACAAGACACTCAGTCAGGTGCCGCCAGCCCTACCTCTACCCAAGAACAGCAACCCATCACCATTTGCTCTTTCTCCACTGTCCTACGCCATGTTTCTCTGGGTCTTCCTCTCTTGCGTTTTCCTTCCGGTGCCCACGTCAGTGCAACTTGTGGGAGGGAACTGATATTCATTTGCAGCATGTGTCCAATCCATGTCTATCTCATTATCCCACTTTAGCTTTGGGACATCTGGAGCTCTCAATGAATTTAAGTTGTTAATCTAAATTGATCTGGTTAAGTGACAGCAGTGGCTAGCTTCGTAGGAGAGAGGAGGGGGGCCTATGAGGTTAAGACTGCTAAAAGTGTCTTCCTGTATTAAAACCCAGATTTTGACCTTGATTGAAAAGGCATTGTATTTTTGCTGCTGTCAATAATTCTTTAAAATTTGCTTTATAAAAAAAATGAAATTGATCATGTATTCATTGTCCAGGTTTGTGAGGAGTTCAAGGCAATTGCACGACAGTTGTATGACAAACCGAACAGCATAGAAGAACTGGCAGAACAAAGAGAATACATGAAGCAAATTCCAGAACAGCTAAAGAAGAATCAGGAGCTGATCGATAAAGCCATGGTAGATTATGAACTGATTGAGGAATTTAATTACAATATATCAGCCGAGGACTTCAATGCAAAGTGAGTATGATTATTTTAACTTGTCATTTGTAGTCCGTCTCAGTTTTCCAGCCTTATCCATCAGTGTTTTCGTTATCCTGTATTGTTATTATTACAGTCGGGTTTCTATACTTAAGTAAACTGTACTACGAGATTTCTTTCTCTTTGAAGGAACATGTACTTTTGGGTATCGCAAAACCGAATATCATTTAGTTTGGTTGCATGAAATGATACCTTGAGCGTGGCGTATTACTGAGTTTTAATATCACGGTTTTCTCGACCAGGTGGACTTGTATAGGCTGGCCCCATAAAATCCAGCTGCAGATGGAAGCAACAGAAGCCAGCCTTGAATCGGATGAAGAGAGATTCCAGAAAAACCTTCTAGCAGACCAAAACACGTTCCAGGACAGGCTGGATTCACTGAATATGGCTGTAGCAGGATTTGCTGCTCACACAGACCTCAGTAAGTCACATGAAGTGGCAAATGAGGTGCGTCGACTCACTAAACAGCTCAAGGAATGCCAGACGCTAGCTACTACATACAACAACAGGGAGAGACTGTTTGGGCTGCCAGTCACATCGGTAAGATGTTTAATTGTTTGTTTTAATTAGGATGCACTCGTTTCTTGGCATTTACCATCACGTTTTGTCCTCCTGCTGCACCTTATGCCTCCGGATATATTTACACCCTAGAAGTTAACTTGTTCTAAGTGCTTGAAGTGAGTGGGAGTTTACACGTTTTTTGACTGTGTAAAGGTAAAGGTAAAGAACAGTATCTGGTGAAACATGGAGAAATTGGTGGCTAGGGTGTAGGTTTGTTTCTGCTGTCAAGTACTGCTTATTTCTTTAAAAATTGAGCGATGCAAGCTGTGAGCATATGGATACTCGTACAGTGTTGAGAACTATGGAGTTAGAGGGGAAATGAAAAGTTTTGTAGTCTCACTTGTGGATAACTTTTATCATAAATTCCCAACAGTATGACAAACTGGGCCGATTAATCAAAGACTTTGAACCATTCAAAAACATGTGGTTGACAGCTTCTGACTGGCAGAAATGGTACGACAGTTGGATGAACGATCCTCTCACTACAATCGATGCGGAACAACTGGAACAGAATGTAAACAATGCATTCAAGACGGTCTTCAAGTGTGTTAAACATTTCAAGGAGATTCCTGCCTGCCAGGAGGTAGCCATGGAAGTAAAAGAAAAGATTGAGAACTTCAAGCCGTACATTCCACTCATTCAGGGCTTGAGGAATCCTGGAATGCGAAGCAGACATTGGGAACAGGTACGAAGACGCATACACATGTACAGATTACGCATGCACAGCTAGTTTTGCTTTTCTATTTCTGAAGTCTTACAAGGGCGAAATCGTATGCTAACTTTACTTGCTTTATGTAACATTCAAATATTGCACGGGCGAGGTAAGCTTTAGTTGAAAAAGTGTTCCAAACCTCGCAAATCGAAAAGGGCAAAAAGGCAATCCATGTATAAAATCCTTCAATCCGGCCAACGCCTGCTGGCATGATAGATTTCAAGGAACTACATGAGGATTGCATGTGTATATAACAATATACATACACATACAATAAGGAAACCGGAAAATAGTAGCTTTCTAAGGTAAAAGAAAAAAGTTGTAAAACTGTTACGATCAAGGAAGATTAAGACGAATTACGAATGAGAAACTTGAAATAATTGACCCTGTAAGTGTTTTTCAAGATGCGTTGTCCACGACGTAGTTCTTTAACGATCGTTTAACGATCCTTTCCTTTAATGAAAATGTCACTTTTATTTACAGTTGTCCAAAGAACTTGGTTTTCCGATTGTTGCAAACGCTCAGTTAACATTTACAAAGTGCCTGGAAATGAAGCTGCAAGACCACATTGAGATTATTGCTAAAGTAGCAGAGATCGCTGGCAAAGAATACTCCATTGAACAGGTAAAGTAATCCTTTTTTTTTTACGGTACTACTTGTTACGGCCCATTCAGGCCAGCGTAACCTTTGATTAAAAATATTCATGCACAAAACATGCATACATGCGCACTCTGTGTGTCGTTCGTTTTTTCATTTCTCGTCTGTTTGTTTGATTGTCTTCAACAAAGTTCAGACAATTTCTATCCATTTTCAGACTAAGCAGCTTATGTTCTCGCTTCTTCGAAAACTTTTCAATGGACTTAATCTTGTAATATTACTCATCAGGCCCTGGACAAGATGGAGTCTGAATGGAAGCCAGTCATGCTCGAGGTAATGCCATATAAGGAAACAGGCACGTTCATCATGAAAGTCAGTGATGACTGCTCGCAGTTATTGGACGATCACATTGTGATGGCACAAAGCATGTCATTCTCACCGTACAAGAAGCCATTCGAGGAGCGCATTACCACGTGGGAGAGCAAGCTGGTGATGACTCAAGATGTGATGGACGAGTGGCTACAGTGTCAGCGTCAGTGGCTGTATTTGGAACCCATCTTCAGCTCCGAGGACATTAACAGGCAGCTACCTGTTGAAAGCAAAAGATACCAGACCATGGAGAGGATATGGAGAAAAGTCATGACCAGTGCCAAGGGAAATCCTCAGGTGAGAGAAACAATTATAGTTTGTTTTGAGTTTAAACACTCTTTTTATTATTTAGCTGCTTTTTACTTACTGCTGCGCTCAAGTCCAGACCTAACTCGTCACATCTGGCAGGATTTCGCGCGGGACCAGGCTATTTACCACTCTCTTCTCGCCATTTCCGCATTTATTACAGAAACCCCTGCGAAAATGAAACACTCGCGCCCGAAATTCCACCAGCTACTTAGTCTAGAACAAATTATGTAGTGAGCCACTCAGAACTCGAACTAAAGACATACACTCATGCCCCTTGTCCGGAAATGGTTGTAAGCGAAATCGAGATTAGTTTTGGCTTTGATCCTAACTGGTTGATAACCTAGCACGTTTACTTTCTTTGGTTCGTGTAGTAAGTAATAATAAAAAAATCATTTATTGGTGTTTTCAGGTTATTTCTCTGTGCCCAGATGCCAGATTGCTGGAAAGTCTTCGTGAATGCAACAAATTGTTGGAACAGGTATGATGACGGAAAACTGATCTGCCCCTCTTCTTGGGAGCGAAAACAAACTCTTATTCAGGTCAACTGTTTGGATTTTCTTGCTTTATTTACTTTAGCGTGTTTGTGTAATTTTCAGGTTCAAAAAGGACTTAGTGAATATCTCGAGACCAAACGTTCAGCTTTTCCCAGATTCTACTTCCTGTCAGATGATGAACTTCTGGAGATTCTGTCTCAGACTAAAGATCCTACTGCTGTTCAGCCTCATCTGCGAAAATGCTTTGAGAATATTGCCAAGGTATGTTATGAGAGTGTTTGAAAAAGAAGTCGGTTATTGTTTTGACTAACGATGCAAAGCAGTCCTAGTCGTGTGCAAGAAGTCGTCTGTTTCACATCCGTTCGTTCAGGTAAAGAGAAAAAATGTGTTGAGATCCCAGGTGATACACTTACTCAGTTTGCTTTTAGTCCTGGTAACAATAAACGTTTAAAGCTAAAAGCATGCACAAATAATACAGTATAAATTATATCTCCAGTTTCATTTTCTCTTATGGCAAGCTAGGGACTGTAGAGATACATATAAATAATAGCGGCAATTGCAGCCCTATTTGCTACCAAGGGACAAGGAATTTAGTTAGGAAAGACTTTAGCAGTAAGAGTGCGACTTGCTAATTTCATTCTGGTTACTTCTCCTCCTGTTACTGACTAGTTGAATAGGAGACTATGAATATTATAATATATTGTATTGTGACGTACATGTAAAGGCGTTAGGGTAGATGCTATTACTGTGTGTTTATCAGTGCAGGGCCGTCGTGTCAAGCTAGCATCTTTTCTCAGCAGTGTGTTTGTTTTATCGATTTAAGACGTCTTTTTATTTGTTCTCTTCAGCTTTCATTCGAGGAAGACTTGCGTATCTCATCTATGTTCTCTGGTGAGGGAGAGTGTGTCCCATTCAGCAACAGTCTGTACCCGACAGGAAATGTAGAGGACTGGTTACTGGAAGTAGAAAACACCATGAGAGGAAGTTTGCGAGAGATTTTAAACAGAGCATTATTAGTTTATCCTGAGGTAACGTGTTATACAGTATGTTATTTTAACGTAGCTCTTAACTGCTCACAGTTTTACAATATACGTTCGCCCGAGTCATAGAATTCGACATGTCATAATATAAGGGCTTCATCCTACATGTAGCTCTTCATTTGGCAAAGCATTTGATAGTTTTCGGATCCAGCAACTCACACGTCGTCACCATCTATATTTAAGAAGTTTCAGTAATCTTGCCTCACTTGCTATGGCGCTGGGAAGATATTAACCATTTCTGTTGTGTGACAGACTCCTCGTACAGAGTGGGTGTTACAGTGGCCTGGCCAGGTGGTGATTGCCGGCTGCCAGACTCACTGGACCAAAGAAGTGTCTGAAGCACTGATTGAAAACAAGATAGATGAACTTTATAAAGCCTTGATGGCTCAGGTAAGTTACTTTTGTTGTTCCTGTGTTGTACCGTATTTATGACCACCGGCGAACGACTCATTTGTTTGGCCCCTTATGAGATGTTTATGACTAGTAATTCAGTGAATAAGTTACTTGGGTGAAAGTGTGATAAGTAACAGAAATATACAAGCATCTTCCTCATCTCCGAGTAATTGGTATCTCTTAAAACGACTAAAACAGAATATTCTTGTCGATTCCAAAGGCGAGCAAGCATAATTTTTTTTATCTCTGAGTACGTGGTTCCTAAAATCTTGTGTTATTTCCTTTATTAGCTCAATGATCTCGTTACTCTGGTGAGAGGAAACCTCAGTAAACTGGCGCGGATGATTCTGGGAGCTCTTATTGTGATAGAGGTAAAACATAAAACGTCACTATTATATAATTATCAAGTGTAAATAACGATAAACCGCTGTCTCGCCCGTCCATTTCAGGCGCTGTTGGACTGGGCAAATTTTCGTGCAACTAAGAAAAATCGCATGGTGTAACAGTGCCTCAATTCCCTTCTTTGAAATTTAAGTTGAACTCAGTTCAAACTCAGTTCAAAATTCTGAAGTAGTTACGTTGTATTGCTACTTGTGCCATTTTCTGTGCACCACACATCAGTTTCAACATTAGATACGTATTGGGTATTCAAAGTTATCATGAGCTCATGATCATATCCATTTTCCTGCAGGTTCATGCTTGTGACGTCGTAGCAAAGATGATCTCTGAAAACGTGAAAAATGTGAATGATTTTGAGTGGATCAGCCAGTTAAGGTAAGTCAACGTGAATGTTGGTTGGGGGTTCTTGGTTAACAGTTAGACTCTTAGATTGAGTTTTCTGGGAAACAGCAGTCAACGAAGCGTAGCTGAATTGACGAATTCTCGTCGAAAGCGAAAGCAATTGGTCTAAATATTGTCTTAGTTGAAACAGAAACCTCAGCTACCTCGCCATTGCGGAGCTTGAGCGCAAACGTCTTTGAGAGACGGATTTGATTCGGAAGTCAGATTTTCTATTCTCTAGCTCGTATTATCGACTTTTCGTTAAAAATGGCAAATGCTAAAATGACAACTTTCTATCTCAATGGCGTAATTATTAACCTGTACCACTCACTTTTCAGGTATTACTGGGAAGATGACATGATAATACGCGCGGTGAATGCACAGTTTGACTACGGCTACGAGTACCTTGGAAACACAGGCAGGCTGGTCATAACCCCTCTGACGGATCGCTGTTATCTAACTCTTACTGGAGCGCTGCATCTGAAGTTCGGAGGGGCACCTGCTGGGCCTGCCGGCACAGGCAAGACAGAGACCACAAAGGTGCGTATAAGTTGCCTACTACTTATCTTCAGTTTTCGCAGAAGAGCAACACGATTTTTTTTACCATTTTGTGTTCTTATCACTTTTACAGGATTTAGGCAAAGCCATGGCGGTTCAATGTGTAGTGTTTAACTGTTCTGATCAGTTGGATTTTATGGCCATGGGGAAGTTCTTCAAGGGTTTGGCCAGGTAATGGACTACATATAGTCTACATATAGTCTAAAGATGGCACTTTTTACTCCTTAAATCAATGTAGTTAATATAATTTTGCGCTTTTACTAAGTGTATTTAAATTGTCTAATTTTACGATTTGAAAAAGGCATAGTTTAAACAGTTAGTTTATTTATGATCCTAAAACGGAATCGTGTTATTTCTCCGCTCTGTAGCGCCGGTGCTTGGGCCTGTTTTGACGAGTTTAATCGAATTGACGTGGAAGTGTTGTCTGTGGTGGCTCAGCAGATCTCCACCATTCAACAAGCTTTGGAAGCTAGGGTTTGTACAATGTATACTTGCTTACATTAATTTGCGAATTCCATAGTGGAGAATGCTACCTACAAATGTTAAAATTGAACGTAGTGGCGTAAGAATTAAGTAATAGTGGCGTAAGAAGCCCGTATTGAAAGTAATGTAGGTAATTACGTGTATGTGTTTTGCAATTAAAAGAAAACGTATCACTTCATGGAACGGCCTTTATGTTTACAAAGGAATACCACCGTCCAAAATTAGATTGGTTTTCAGCACATTCAGCTATCGAAAGTTTTCTGTTATTACTCGATTTACGTCACGGTACAATTAACATCCACTTCTCGGGATAGAGTGGTGGAAATTTTTCATCCGGCTTAATAATATGCATTCTTTTGTTTTCTTTGTCCAAAAAAATCTGTGAAACTTTCAGTAAAAGATCTTGCCGCCATTTTGTTTGCAGGCTGAACGTTTCATGTTTGAAGGTGTTGAACTTGCGTTGAGACCTTCATGTGCCGTGTTTATCACAATGAATCCTGGGTATGCAGGAAGAACTGAACTGCCTGACAATCTCAAGGTAAGAATGACCATCAAGCGAAATAAAAGTAAAAATCAACAAGTGACAATAGCATTCATTAATCATTGCGTAGTATTAACACTCTCCTTGCTAGTGTGTGGTGGGTGAGGGTATTTGAATAGTTTCTCACTTGACACGTTTCCTGATTTGCGCTAGAGAAAACTGAAGTATGGACACACTGATGTTTCCATGTATCGTGGCTGGTCTGAACTGCATAATGCGAAATTCTCGAACTAATTTACCCTCAGCACTTAGCTGGAGATGATCTCATTACACCTTTTGCGACAATATCATAGCTTTTGCACGGTGTTATCATAACTTGTGGTCAGCTTAGCAGAATGCGGAAACTTCTGTCATATTTAAACTTAGTTATATGGCAGCCTATCACCCATGGTCTTTTCTATCTAAGTGATGGTGCGTTCGGCTCAGTCTTGTCGGGAAAAATCGGAAATGTTTCTGAGTAATTTGTGTTCCTTGTTGATTGATTCTCATGTTTCCATTTAATCCCTTGTTGTGATTACGTTTCACCAGGCTTTGTTCCGTCCTGTGGCCATGATGGTTCCTGACTATGCCTTGATCGCTGAGATCAGTCTTTTCTCGTTCGGTTTCTCGGAAGCTAAAGCTTTGGCCAAGAAAATTACCACCACATTCAAGCTTTCTTCAGAACAACTCAGTTCTCAGGTGAGTTAGCCTAAAACTTAGCCTGCTTGATATTTTCAATTAGTTTAGACGTTTTTGTTGGAAATAGTGTATCCCTTGTCAGTTCGCAAAACAGATTTAAGACATTGAAAAGAAGAGCAACGCAAACGGTGTTAGTTTAGAGTGGTAAAGATGAAAGAGAATGAAATAGAATTTAATGGTATGGTTTTTACTTAATTTAAGACGTCGTTTGGGAATGAAAATGTACGTTCATAGGTTATTGCCGATGAAGAGTTAAGCGCAGCTTTGTTGCAAGGAGAATAGTTTAATGAAGAAGGGTATCATTATATTGAACAGTAGCATCAATAACTGTTGTTGTTTACAGGATCACTACGATTTTGGTATGCGAGCCGTCAAGACTGTGATTTCAGCTGCTGGTAACCTCAAGAGAGAAAATCCAGACATGAGTGAGGTGATAAGAATGGCAGTTACCCTGAATGATTTTGTTCTGTCTTAAAGGCTGTTTCAGTGAAGTCTGCTTTATTGTTTTACCTTAATGTTGTTTTGTTCTTGTTCTACTCTAGGAGCTTATCGTATTACGTGCCATTCGAGATGTGAACGTACCGAAGTTCTTGCAAGATGATTTGAAGCTGTTCCGTGGAATTGTCTCTGATCTCTTCCCTAAAGTAGAGTAAGTTACTCTGTATCAAATCAGTGTTGGTAATTTTACAGAATTTCCCAAGCAGACAACAACAACAACAACAACAATCTCAAATTGTACACCAGTACTGTTGCTCTTTAAAAGTTTTCAAAATAAAAGAAAAGCAATTGCGCTCAATTATATAACAGAGTTCTAACGAACGTTATTGTTATACAGAGAGAAGCCTATTGATTATGGCGATCTAGAAGACTCTATCCGCAAGACTTGCCTGAAGCTAGGCCTTGAGGATGTGGACGGATTTGTGACCAAGTGTATTCAACTGTACGAGACAACTGTAGTCAGACATGGACTCATGTTGGTTGGTCCCACTGGATCAGGAAAAACAAGGGTGAGTCAGTGACACTGTAAGTATGGGTTATTGACCAAGCCCGAGGTCAAGATGGCTGGATATTGGCCAAGTTCTTTCTTTGCTTGTTTATGGACCGTGACGAAGTCAAAGTCCACAAGGTCGCCAAAAAAAAGAAGAACGAGGCCAATATCCAGCCATCTTGACCTAACGAGGATTTATTATATGGCTTTCAAAGAATTTTTTCTTGCGGGCACAGCTGGTAGTCCCGAGTGGGCAAGATAGCGCCATCTTGCCCGCTCACGGAGCTAGCCATATAATAATTGCTTCATACGCACCAACAAACGTGTAGAATATGTGTATATTTTAGATGCAGAGCGTCTTATCTGGCCGGCATCTGCATTGAATAGAGGAACCGAGATGACCGCAAACGCCAAATGGAAATAGTTTTCCGTTTGAAAAGAAACGGGGCATTTTCACATAGAACGATCTCGTAGAATGTTGTAGAACTACGTGTATTCGATGTAATTATGCTTTATTGTCGTCGTGACAGTTTTCCTATTTTCTTGGTGTTGTTTTCTACAGTGTTACGATGTACTGAAGAAAGCTCTTACATCATTGAAAGGTAAAGATTCGCCAGCAGGTACCCCGTATGAAGAGGTGCACACTTTTGTTCTGAATCCTAAATCCATCACCATGGGACAGCTGTACGGAGAATTTGATTTACTTACTCACGAATGGTAAGTTAGATTGTAAATTCTGTCTGGCGTTAGCCTAGTATCCTCTCAATTCCCTCCTTCAAAACTTCCCTCTCTTGCTTTCTGCAAATGGCGAAGAACTCCTGTAATAGACGAGGCCATTCTCTATTGTTGGAAGTCGTTTTTTCTTGAGGAAACGGAAAAGAAAGTAATAAGTCATTTCCGAATTACCCTTGCCTCTGTGTCCAAACAAGTCTTGGTGCGAAACCAATCATATGGAAATGTATTCTCCCTACAGGTTCATTTTCATGCAAATAAAACTCAATCTCATTCGAAACGTTTTGCACAAGGACTCGTTTTGAAACGGAGGCAGAAGGTAACGCGGAAATGCCCTATTGAACACCACCTTCTCCCTTCGACTCCTCTATTATCGCTTTTTTGTCGTCGTGAATACATGTATGTAATGTAAACTTAATACCCGCCCGGATATTTTAAACAGTCAGGAAATTATCACACCTTTTAACTTATCATTGTCTTTTACTTGTCTTTAAAGGACGGACGGTATCTTATCGTCCATGATCCGCGTTGGAAGCTCGAGTACAACAAGTGACAAGAAATGGTATGTGTTTGACGGGCCTGTGGACGCCGTGTGGATTGAAAACATGAACACTGTGTTGGATGACAACAAGAAGCTTTGCCTTACGAGTGGAGAAATTATCAAACTCTCTGAGGTAAGCTTTGATTGTAGTTTAAAAATCGTCGTTGCTGTTGTCGTAACTGAACTCGGAAATGCTCGGCAGATCCGTTGATTGTTGCGATTTAATGACTGTACCATTCACTTCATTCCCAGGCCATGACGATGATGTTCGAGGTCCAGGATCTTGCTGTTGCCTCCCCGGCCACCGTCAGCCGCTGTGGTATGGTGTACCTGGAGCCGAGTATCTTGGGTCTTGCGCCGTTTGTGAACTGTTACATGAAAACACTGCCTGACGCAATATTTGATCACAAGGACAAGTTACAATCGCTTTTTGATAGATATTTAGAGGTAACAGAACCTTTGATGTGAATATTTTATATTATTTTATATTGAATTACTTGACCTTATGAAAGGGCGAGGTGTATGAACTTCATGATAAGAAAGCCCCTTATCACTGATTACCGAAGTTCCTTGCATTTACCAAGCTAAGTTATGGGACAAACTTGCACAACGTGCTGTAACCAATCTGGGTAAACAGGGAGCAGGGATGGCGCAGTGGTGAGAGCGCACGCCTCCGCTGATTTCCGTTTCGTAAACGGTCCATGCCATTTTTAACGGTCGATGCCATCATTGGTAACCAAGCCTTTCAGAATGGACGATGCCATAGTATAGGCCTGGACAAGGTAGAAACTGGTTTTAATTTGTTGATTGAGTAAAACGCAGTCGTCAAATGCTTGATTGTTCATATTCACACTGGTTTGCTTGCGGTTAGCTTTTATTTGATGGTTGGGGCAACTCTATCATTTATATTTAAGAAAGTCACGTTTTGTAATTAAATTTTGCGGCAATTTGGCGGATCAACCTGGTAGTGTAGTGGTGGAAGAGGGATGTTAGGAAATAGAGGTTTCGGGTTCGATACTGGGTGGTTACTTGCAAATTTTCTTTTTTCTTTAATTTCGTGGAGAAAAATTCGTTGATAGTTAAAAAGTGTCGCGAAATTGGCATCGACCGTTTACGAAACGGACAACTGCCTCGCCTTCCACCAATGTGGCCCGGGTACGATTCCGGCCAGGTGCCATATGTGGGTTCAGTTTGTTGTTGGTTCTTACGTTGCTCTGAGGGATTTTCCTGCCTCCACAAATTCCAATTGGACCAGGACAGAGGACCCGCGTGAAAACAAGCTAAGGCTGATGTGGCTTCCTCTCTAAATATTGTAATTTAGTATTTTACTCAACTAAGGTCACATCGCTATTCGTTTCTTCGCTTCTCTCTTTTTTACCGCCCTTATCTCCGTTTTCTTGTTTTTGCTTCACGTTCTGATTAGTTCGTTTCGTTTTCGCTTTTATGGCGTTTACAGTTTATAGCTATAAAGTGGCATGACTTAAGTCTTCGTTCTAGCTAATCACTAGAAACCCGCTGTGGGCCTAATATAGGCTCGATTACCGTCGCACTCTCGGGTGCGGTCAACGTTCAGGTCGGGTGAGGAATGCGGGCTCCTTTTTCGAACAGCGGCTGGTAATCGAGCCTGGGTCTAATGTGACGATATGCCTTTGTTGGTTTAGAGCATAAATTTCACGTAAATTGATAATTTGTTGCTTTGTTTTGATGATTTTCAGGATTCCCTTACGTTTCTGAGGAATAACACCAAGGAGTTTGTTACAACTGTCAACAGTAACTTGACTTGTAGCCTGATGCGTATTCTGGATTGTTTCTTTGCTCCGTTTGTTCCGAAAGAGGTGCGTCTTGAGTTGAATGACTGATAGGTTTAACAAGAAAGTGTCAATGCTTCAGGATAAACGAAAGAAACGCAGTTCAGCACAGTTATAGTTTCCGCAGCCAAATTCTCTGAGGCAAAAAATACGCTGCAGTTAAGATTTTGGTAAACGAAGAAATTTTTTTTTTACAATACAAAAAGTAAAAACGAAGAGTTGCCATGAGCAAGTTTGTGCCAAGTAACTGTTTTTATTAATGTGAAGTATATATGAAATATTTCATATATGCGGTTGTAGATGAAAGTGAAGAATGATCATCGCAGTAAATTTTCCAATTTAAGCAATTGGAAAGAAGAAGCCTGAAAAAAATTCAGGGCTTCAACGGGATTCGAACCCGTGACCTTCGCGATACCGGTGCGATGCTCTTAAAGGAGCTACATCACGGTTTGCGCGTCTTGAAAAGTATAGCCTAAATTTCTCAAGTTTGTCGTTTGTACTCCTTAACCACCCTTGTTCCTTTATGGATTATTATCATCTCTTTGGAGCTTTCTATCTTAGTAAACTGCTATTTTCAGGTTTCCTTCAATTTAAAGACAATTTTGTACGTGCCAAAATAACTCACGATACCGCGACTGAGCTCCTTTAAAACCGCGTCTTGAGTTCTTTTTTACGAGGTTACAGTCGGGATGAAGCATTATTCTTCAGTGTGTCGGTCGATCTTGCAATTTTGTAGTTGTTGTGTATTTTGTGGCTGTTGCAATTTTGTAGCTGTCGTGTTGTAGCGTGAGATAAATCGTACTCCATGAAATGGATTGGTAATATCACAGTTTCTACCTCTTTTTGCCTTGTCAGGGAGAGACCATCCCTGCAGAGAACATAGCTTTGGTCGAGACGCTGATCGAGCCGTGGTTTATCTTTGCTCTTATCTGGTCTGTTGGAGCAACATGCGATGGTGACGGGCGAAAGAAGTTCAGCGAATATTTAAGAAAGAAGATGGATGACGAGAAGGTGATTCCCAAATAAAATTTGTTTACTTTGGAGTCTTGATAACATTTACTGTTAGTTTTACATTGTTCTAATACCCAATGTATAGCATTAGGGTCTGATGATGCCTTGCCCATAGGCCGGGTTGGGTGTGTAACTAGCTGTACGTTCTTGTTAATTCCAAATTTCAATAACATTGGTAATTGGTCTTGAGTTACATCATGTTGCAAAGAAACTTCAGTTAAGTTTATCGTCCTTTTTTATATTGAAGTTGTCAATGTGAACCATAGCGTATGACCATAATTTCAGACTAGTTAGTATTTCTTTAGAAACAAAGAGATCAATCCTCCAATCTTGGTAGAGAATCTTCCACTTTCACATCCAGGCAACGGAAGAAGGAAAAAGGCTGAGAAGATAATTGAATTCCTTGAGATGCAGCGAACCTCACCAAACTAACCTTTAAACACAACTTCTACCGTGTGTGGATGTGGAGTCGGTGGGATTGAGTTGCTTTCTTGCAATATTACAGGTTTCCATGAAGTTCCCAAGTTACGGTCTGGTGTATGATTACTCACTGGAGGATGGAGGGGTCAGCCGCAAGCACGGCAAGGATGACGACGACGAGGATGATCACACGGAGGAGGTGAGGGGACAGATCTGACATCTTAAGGACAAAAGAAAACATGATTTCATTGACTTAACTAGGGCCGAGAGCAAGAAGAAACATTATCAACTAAGTTTCAAACTACGCACATTGAAGTTGTCTCCCGTTTTCATTTTGTTGAAGAATGCACGCATAGTTGTGTCGCACTTAGAATATTTTACGACTTAAAACGATTCTACTTGGCTGAGGTTGAGAAGGTTGATGCAAGTATGCGAGATGGGAAAAAAGAAGTAGAAAAGAAGTAATAATATGAAGTAATAAAGTAATAAAATAAATAGTCAGGCTTGTCTCAAATTTATCACGGATTTGCTTGAAGATAGGAAAGGCATATTCTTATATTGTGTAATCTTCTTGAATGTTCCGTACAATGGATGTTGCATTTACCGTCTACGTGTAACATGTGTTGCTTCATGTGTTGCAGGTGAAATGGGTTAACTGGATGGCTAACACAGCTATGCCTGATATTCCACCGGAAATGAACTTCTCTGATATCATTGTACCCACCATGGACCTGGTTAGAGGGTCTTTCGTGCTGGAGATGCTGTTAACAAACAACAAAAAAGTACGTTTAACTGTTTCGTTATTGAAGAAAGTGGAAAGATGCATAGAGTGTAGACTTGCAAGTAATTTCATCTTTTGTCGCGCAGAAAATAAAATAAGACCAAAAAAGAAGTTATGTGTGCTCTTGCTAACGACTGCAACTAAATACAGCATGAGTCGAGCAGGGAAAAGAAAACACAAATTGCTGTACCTTTTAAAAGTAATACAACAGAAAGTGTCTTTTACGTGAACGTCCAGCAATTATTTTGTGGCTGACGAAGTTGCTTTTCCTCTCCAGGTGATGTGTGTGGGTCCAACAGGCTCTGGTAAAACGTTGTGCGTAGCAAACAAGCTGCTCAACTACATGCCCAAAGAGTTCCTGTCTCATTTCCTGAATTTCTCAGCGAGAACATCTGCTAATCAAACACAGGATATTATCGATAGCAAACTTGACAAGAGGTGGGCACAACTATAGCAATTTTGTTCTCGTTTCACAGATTTCTTTGTTATGTTTCTCTTTTCTATTACCTCCCTTACTTCTTACTTCTGTTGTTTTCTGTTTTCTTTGTAGCTGGAGTTATCGGTTTCTTAACTAGTTCATTTTTTTCTGGTACTCCTATGCTCCATTCAGATTCGAATTAATTCTCTTTGGCATCTCGCATTTTGTTTCATCCTTTGTTTCGTTTTTCTTTTCTCGGACGATTTTCTGTAATTCACGTCTTGTCTTCCACTATCGATATATTTGCTAATTTTCTCTTTTTATGAATCCATGGCTCACTGCCTTGGTTCTTTCTTAACCTGTTAAGAGTAATAGTTTTTCTGAACAAGACTTTACTTATTTTATATGTCAAGAGTAAGTTCCTACGTTTTGCAACCGTGTTGTCAGAGTTACAGCAACATCTCTCGCAGCGCAACTTGACCGTTGCAGAGCGTGTTACACGATGCTATATTTTTCGCCATTACCGATGGCGTTACAAAACAAATCGACTGAAATATTGCACTTTTCAGTTCAATATTTTTTCTTAAAATCTGCTTATACTTAATGTTGCGTTCACTTATTTTCAGACGTAAAGGCGTGTTCGGTCCTCCTCTGGGAAAACACTTTGTGTTTTTCGTCGACGATCTAAACATGCCAGCTCTGGAAGTGTATGGCGCCCAGCCTCCAATAGAAATCCTCCGTCAATACTGTGATCACAAGGGATGGTACGACAGAAAGGCGATAGGTACGTCATTGTAGCTCACATATCAAAATACAAATTCTCCTCACAAGGCTTCATACTTTTCGTACAGTACCAATCGGGAGAATTTATTTTAAGGACGTTCGCGCGAAAATTTTCCAGTCGATAGATTTTTTAAAAATTTTTACTGCAGTGAGATAATGAGTTACTTGTGTCAGAAATGCCAAAAAAATTGAGGGTCACCAACTTCGTTTCAGAGATAAAGCGTGTGAAAACTACCCTGATTTTGAAAAATTGGAGCACGTAATTCAGCGTGGTCTACAGGGGTTTGTAGTTAAAAATATCGAAGATGAGGCAACGGAGGCAAACGATCTTAGTCATATTTTGTAGAAGTGGGTTTGTTGCGTAAATAAATCCTAATGTTGCCAACGTGTGCACAAAAATTATCCCTTCAAGAGGTATTTGAAACCGCCGCACAGATAAACGAAGAGCTAAAAATAACGGAATTCGATGATGCATTTTGCAAAAAATTCAAACTTCTAATCGATAGATTTTCTTCATTTTTTCGCTAAACGTAGAGAATCGGTAGAAAAAATGATCCATCAAAAGAAAAATAGGGGTCACCGAACGTCCAAGATCGTTAAATTCAGGCAAAGCTGTAGCAATGATCATCTACCCTATCATTGTTAATTTTATTACATAGCGCGCATCGACGCATGACGTGGCATGTGAATTTGCCAGCGCGGTAAGGATGCGCAGAAACGATGATTGGCGTGAACGTCCTTAAGAAGCTACACCTTGAGCGTTCAATTCTGTTACTCTGGAGACCCCTTTGTTAGATTCTATGATGATTTTAAGACGAAATAAAACTTTCAATTAAACAATGTCTGGTTTACATCTCTATGAAAAGGAGTAGGAAAACCAAACTGCAATTCACTCGTACTGATACCATCTCGTTTTCTTTCTTAGGAACCTTTCGTGAACTAGTGGATATCAACTTTGTGGCGGCAATGGGCCCCCCAGGGGGTGGTAGAAACCCTGTGACTCCTCGGTTCCTCAGACACTTCAATCACCTGTCATTCACTGAGCTGGAGGATGACAGTAAACACAGAATTTTTGCCACCATTCTCAAATCTTGGATAGGTAAGGCATTTCACTGCATTACATTCGTAGATAGCTAGCAAAAGGTTTTTAGACAACGAGCTCAGTGACGAAACAATAGGCATCGGGAATTCTTTTTGAACGTTGCGTTTTTGAACGCAACGTTCATAAAGAATTCCCGATAAATCAGGTACAACTTAAAGTCATTGCTAGCAGGAGAATTGTCAGGGTCAGCATTTAAAACAATAGAGGAAATTCGTATAACTTTTCTCTTTATACCTGTGTAAGCTCGAGCTGATGTACTATTTCACTAGCTCATTTGAACAACGTCGCTTGACTTACTTAAGGATTGAGTTGGGGTTTTTCCTTGCCGTATTTTCAACAGTGACGACCCGTCTTGTATAGTGCGCATGTCATAATCCCCTGAATGTGCATGTTACCCTGCTGTCAAAAAATATTGGCCCAGTCTCTTGATGAGAAATATGCTCCTACCCCAAATAAGAGACTGATTTTGTTGAGCTAACACCAACAAATTTTAATTTTTTTTTTCACAGAAAGAAACAAAGCTCTAGCAGGTTAGAGTAGTTTAGAAGAAAGATTACTAGTGTCCCTGGTTTCATTTTAGCTCTGGTAGTCAGTAATCATTTAGAGACTTACAAGAAATATTGTCAAATGTAGCTCAGGCGTTGTCTTAATCTGAGATGCAACTATATGTAATATTTATCGACTTGAGGTAGTGAAGATTAAGAACATGGATGGGTCAGGGATTGTCAGGGAAGATATTTAGGCAAAAAGAGACCGTTTTAGATTTCAAGGATACTGAAGAGTAAAATGTTACGAGATGAGAAAAAGCAGTCAAAAGCCATCATCGTCATCAGTTTTTCCAGCACGAGTTTAGCGCTTAGTCACAGTTATGTAGTATAGCAACAAAACTCTACAAGAGTCACGCTAGGATGGTTACTATACGGCTGTTTCGAGTAAGGTTGACCTCCCGAAGAGCTGAAGCGTACGCGGCAGTGGCGAAAGGTGTCATGGCTAGTGGTATTTTACCTTTGTTTGACTCGAAGTTCACAGTGCTTAGTGGTACCTTTCGGCATTTTTTGTATGCTTTTACACTTTCGTGGGACAACCTTTCTAGAAACAGCTGTATTCGGTGGAGGCGCCGTGGCCTCATGGTTAGTGCGCTCGTCCCCGGATCGAGCGGTCCGGGTTCAAGTCTTGGCCGGGGACACTGTGTTGTGTCCTTGGGCAAGACACTTAATTCTCACAGTGCCTCTCTCCACCCAGGAGTATAAATGGGTACCGGCGAATTGTTGGGGCCTGAAACTAACAAATTGCGGGGGAGTGACCTGCGATGGACTAGCATCCCGTCCAGGGGGAGTAGAAATACTCCTAGCCGCTTGATGCTACGGAAACCGAGATAAGCACCGGCAGCTATGAGCCAGTCGGCTCCAAGGTTTCACTTTTACACTTTCGTGGGACAACCTTTCTAGAAACAGCTGTATGCACCAGAGTATATAATAGGGGTTGGCAGTTTCGTGTCCGTGGTTGCTGAACAAAGAAAGCTATCAACTGAGCACAACTATTTCTTGGAATTCATCTAACTTGTATTTATGTTCTGCTTGTTTCAGCTTCCTACGCTGGCGAGGATAAAGAGTCACTATGCGACAGTTTGGTCGGAAATACCATTGCCGTTTATAACACTGTTATAACTCAGGTAATAGCATTTCACTTGATTTACCTCGATATAGACAAGGGATTCGAAACCCTTTGCGTTTGCAGTTTTGTGCTATAAATTAGTACCACTATCCACTACACTATATATAAAAATCTTTGCCGTTCTCATTTTAGTTGCTACCCACTCCAGCCAAGAGCCACTACACGTTCAACTTGCGAGACTTGTCGAAAGTGTTCCAAGGAATTCTTATGGCTCAGCCACAGAAACTGAGCGGTAAAGAAGATGTACTGAGGCTGTGGTACCACGAGAACTGCCGGGTGTTCCAGGATCGTCTAGTTAACGACGAGGACAGAAAATGGTTCGTGGATCTGATTCGAGACAAGATGGCGTCTGGGTTTGAGATGGCGATGGACGATGTGGTGAAAGATTCCACCATGATTTACGGCGATTTTATGGTTCCTAGCGCTGAGAATAAGATTTATGGAGAAGTGCCCAGTTTTGACAAGGTACGAACCGAAAGTATATTCCATTCAGGTAGTGGATTAATGTAGACACGTTCAAATGGAAAGCGTTGTTTAGTACAGAACACGCCTTAATCCTTGATCGACTATGACATATTAAGATATACAACGAAAGAAATTTCGAATAATTCGGAATAATAAAATCGAATAACTTGTATTGTCATTCAATACATATTTTCTTTGCTCTCCGTTGGCCGAAAGCCCACCACGTGACCTGCAAATAACTGCCTACAAATAATGGTTTGCTCATACGTAGTACCGTCTAAACGTGTTTTGCTGCAAATAATATTTTGCTCATGAGTAATTCAAACCACGTTCTCGAGTGAAAAATGGCAGATCGTTTCCCTGAGCTCTCAGAGAGTGATTAAAATATGAAAACAAACTCGGTGATCGAATGATAAAACAATTATTGAACTCGGCTGTCGCAAAATATATTGATTTGTCAGTGTCTCTCAGATCAATTATTTGCCTCTGCCTTCGGCCTCGGCAAATAATTAATCCACTCGCCACTGACAAATCACGATATTTTGCTCGACCTCGTCCAATAATTGTTAATTATTATATGGCGAGTAGTCTTGAGGTAAATCTGAGCGTGCTGATTGGTTCTTTCTCGGTCGGGTTTGCCATACGGACCATTTCCATTCCTTTGCTTCTAATCAATCAAAACTCACAGTAACCGGATTCGTTTAAGTTACTGACCCCTAATTCTTTTTTTCCACTCATTGCGTTTTCCTTGCTTCCCTTGACAGATGGTGAAGATCATGGAGGAGTACCTCGATGACTATAACCAGATCAACACGGCTCAGATGAGGCTGGTTCTGTTTGGTGACGCCGTACGTCACGTGGCGCGTATCAGTCGTGTGATTCGTCAGCCTCTAGGTAACGCTCTTCTGCTTGGTGTGGGAGGAAGCGGACGACAGAGTCTTACAAGGCTAGCCGCCCACATGTGAGTTGTTAGATATGGGGTTAACGTGATCAGATTAGAATATAATTCAGTTCGGGGAGCACTACAATAAAAGCCCGCTTCACTTTACCAACCTGATGTTACACGACAACTATAAAAAAAACATTTTCAATTCAGTTCGAGAACACAGGAGGAGGCTGCGTGGCCGAATAGTTAGGGCGCAGAGGTCACGGGTTCAAGTCCCGCTCTCTCTGACCACTTAGCTAGAGTTGTTTCTTAGTAGACCCTAGTTAAACTCCTCGGCCATGCTTGTGAATAACCAACTGGTCTGCCTCAGGACTGGCAGTTGGGATTTTTAAGCCTGTTATGTTTAGTTGATATACTTGTTTCTTTCAGTTTAAGTGGCATGCCTGTGAACTAGCTAGGTGTAGCTAAGCGCATTGACTACTATAAGCAACAACATTAGAACATTAGAACATTAGAGCAGTGTTTGCTAATTTGATCGGGTCTGTTAAATCATTGTGGTGAGATGGCCTTACAGACAAAACGCGGCCTTTTTTCAAGGTCGGGCTCAGGGGGGTATTGAAACCAATTTTCTTTCTATTTTGTTGGGTCTTATCACTATCTTTTTACCAACGAATTTATCCTTGCTCATGTGATATCAGGGCCGAGTACGAGTGTTTCCAGATTGAGTTGGCGAAGAATTATGGCGTTCCGGAATGGCGTGAGGATCTGAAGAAGGTGCTGCTGAAATCAGGAGTAGAGAACAAATCCATGGTCTTTCTGTTCAGTGATACGCAGGTAACCATTCGTAACTTTCGCCTTCAAATACATTCAGGAAAAATATAAGCCATGTGCATTAAATTTCGCCTCACAACATCAACACTTGTCAAAGAGACAGGTGTCAAAGATGATAAACGTCATCATCTTTGCGACATCGTCTTACTACTCATTAAGGATAATAAAAAAAAATACTTTAATTTTGAGACCGATGCAGTTAATTGCTGGTTTTCTTTTACCATCGATAGCTTTGTCCTTTAATTTTCCTTTTAATTTACGCAGATCAAGAGCGAAAGTTTCTTGGAAGATCTAAACAACGTTCTGAATGCTGGTGATGTGCCAAACATCTTCGCACAAGATGAGCTGGACACGATTTTTTCAGCCATGAAACCTGTAGTACTTGATTTGGGGCTCCAACCCACCAAGGCGAATCTATACTCAGCCTTCACTAAACGAGTGCGAGCTAATACACATAGTGTTGTGTGTATGAGGTATGCTGCGTGGGCCGTTTTTTTCCCTACTTTCTATTGCACAATGGTTAACAATGGGAAAACTTTCGTCATGTTTTCTCATTGAAATAGCGTATGTTTCAGATTCCTTTCCCCTTCTTAATAGTTTGTGTCTAGTAAGAGAGTTGACGAAACGATGACCAAAGAATTTTTGGTGTCTGTTCAATTACCGTAACTAGCATTGAACAAATATTAGGAATATAAACTTTAACAATGAAATTATGACTTTCTCCTCGTTGTTTTCGACTTATACAGTAGTAGAGCAATCGATAACTTTTCGGAAATCTGTTTATTTTTCAGTCCGATTGGTGAGATATTCCGAGCACGGCTTCGTCAGTTTCCGTCTCTGGTCAACTGCTGTACGATTGATTGGTTCTCGGCTTGGCCTGAGGAGGCCTTGCGTTCCGTGGCCTCAACTTTCCTTGGAGAAATTCCTGAACTGGATGAGTCTTCTGCGATGGAGGGATTGGTATGTCCTGATCAAGATACATAATCTCAATTTTTAGGTTCAATTCATTCCCTTAATATGGATACCAAAGCTACAGAACCTATTGAAGTACAGAGGCAAAATTTGTGTGAATCTGGTCTCTACGAGGCCAATGAGGTGCCCGTATTATAGAGATACATTTGTAGGAATTTATTTCTTTGGAGCCAAGTTAGTGTCCTTCACAGCCGTTGTTTGAGAGTACCAAGGGGGAGGGGGGCTGGAGGAGTCGTGATCCCGTTCAACGTGTACTTATCCACTAATTATTCATCAATCTCGTTTGTCTTTTGATCACTTTCGCGTGTCACGCACCCATTTTTGGCCCTATTGGGCATAACGCGTAAACCCCATTGCTTCCCTCTTACTTGGGTCGCCGTGCAATATTTCTTCCCAAATAATGGCTCCGAAGGAAACTGCTGTCCATAAAGTCGAGGTGATAACGGATAGTTGATATGAAATTGGCACCATGGTAGTTATATTGTCAACATAAGAACAACTAGGATATTGATTATGAGTTTTTTCAATTTTTTAACACATTCACAGGTTACCATCTGTGGAGTTATTCACCAGTCGGTAGCTGTCAAGTCAAAGCAATATCTGGCTGAGTTGTCGCGACACAACTATGTCACACCCACCAGGTAATGACGATCCGTATTGTAATGTAAGAGCTTTTAATAGCGCAGGTTATTGGTTCATGACTGAAAACTAGTTCACAGCCTCCAACAAGATCAATTCGTGTTCTAAGGAAAATAGTTCGTCAGCATTTATTTTGAGTAATTCCTTCTTGTAGGGGTGTCGTGTCTGTTAAGGAACGCTCCTGGTGTTGTTCTCTTGCGCTGAGAGGCAAATGTTAAGCCCATTTGCTTTGGCCGTGTCATGAAATAACTTATTGTATTTTGTTTTTAAGCTACTTGGAACTTCTAGGCACATTCCGAAAGTTGGTTGGCATGAAGAAATCAGAGTTCCTTACTGCAAGAAACAGAACAAAAGTGGGCTTAGACAAAGTAAGTAGCTTGATTACTCCATAACTCCAAGTTAACTTTTAACATTGCACCTCTGAAGACACGTGTTCCATAAGACAAGGAACGAAATGAATATTTTACCTTACCATCATCACTCTTGCGTTCCAAGTTCAAACTCAAAATCGATATAGTGTTTAGTGTTTAATCAAGACTTCTACCTTGAGGCTAGTTGAAGGATTCAGACCCCTATGGTTGAACTAAGAAGTTAAACCACATCTGATCTCAGGCGATTGAATTGCTGCCAACTGTCTTTGTTCAAAGTTGTCTTAAATTTTGTTTTGCAGTTGCTAAGCACAGCAGATGAAGTGGAAAAGTTACAGGAGGAACTCGAGTCTATGCAGCCTTTGTTAGCTCAGGCAGCTGAAGAAACTGTCGAGACAATGGAGAAAATCAAAGTAGACTCGGTAAGGAGTATCATGCATTTGATACAATGATCACATATCTAATGGAGACAATAATCTGTTCTTCTTATCGTAAGGGTACAGGTTAACTTCTTCATCGTATTGCCAGTTATACGAACTCCATCTAATAGTTCGATTTTCTAATTTTTTTTTCGGCGGTTCCCCAAAGATCTGCGATCATTTCCAAACATTTCAATTATCAACACAACCAACGGAAATTTGATAGACCTCCAGAAATTTTCGGACCTTAAACAACTTGTTCAGAGGAGAAAGTGAACCGTTTACCTTGGTAATGACTGAACTTGGACTACCTGACCGAAAAAACATCCAACGAAAGCACTCATCCATTTAACCTGAGAATTGCTGGTAAATAATCCTTTTGCCATGTTTATCAGGTGGTGGCCAATGAGACTAAGGTTGTCGTGCAAAGAGAGGAAGAGGAAGCTGCTAAGAAAGCCGCCGAGACCCAGGCCATCGCTGATGACGCTCAGAGAGACTTGGACGAGGCTCTGCCAGCACTGGTACGAGGCTGGCTGATTGTTGTGAATTACTGATATGGTGGTGCGCAATTTTAACACTAAATAATGTTTCTTTTTTATCACAGGAAGCTGCCCTGGCGAGTCTCAAGTCTTTGAACAAAACTGATGTTGTGGAGGTATGAGATAATCCAAATAATCTTATTGATTGATGACTTCGGCTGACTAAACCAGTAATGTGGATTTTCTTGTTCTGTTTGTAACAGGTTCGAGCTCTTCAGCGTCCCCCTCCAGGCGTAAAGCTTGTGATTGAAGCTGTCAGTATAATGAAAGGCGTCAAACCAAAGAAGATTGCAGGAGAAAAGGTAACGTATCGCAATGTAACACATCGTGACATTGAACAACACGAACTAAAGTAACGTAATATAAGCTAATTAACAACTTAACAAATGTGAGGTAGCAAACGTGACGTAACGTAACGTAGCAAAAAAAAATCGTTTGTTTTATCGGCTATGAAGTAATATATCAAACACGAAAGACCAAGCTTGACCACATTTCCAAACAGCGAGAAGAGACTTGAAAATACGACGCGTAGCGGAGTATTTTTGACAAACTTCGAGGTGTTTGGAAAAGTGGTTTAACACTATCTTTAGTGTTTGATATATTGTCCCAATCGAAACTAAAACCATAACTATGCTAAAACTAAGGAGAAAACGGAGAAATAAGATCACAAACATTTATGCTAATTAAGATCAGATATCCAAACACCGTCACGGTCATGATTTTCTTTTGTTTAAACTTGATGAATTATTAATGAGTTTGACAAAGTTTGTTCAGTCAGCATCGCCTATGGAAACTTGTTCCGCATGTTACTGTGAAAAAAAAGACAACAAAAAATTCAAAAAAATGTTACTTGTAGTTCTTATTTTTGCACATGTTATTTTGAAATTAGCTCACCGAACTTAGGCGAAGTGCAAACTGTTGATTACTCTGTGACACTTCGTGTAGGTTGGTACGAAAGTCGATGACTATTGGGAGCCTGGTAAAGCTTTGCTTCAAGACCCTGGAAAGTTCCTCGAGGGCCTCTTCAAGTACGATAAGGTAAGGAGTCCTTATAGCGTACCCCCAACTCGTGTTAAGAGCGTTCTTGAATTGTAAAATGATTGTTGCGTGTCTTTCCTTCAAAAATTCCAGGACAACATTCCTGATGCAGTGATTCAGAAAATCCAACCCTACATTGACAACGAAGATTTCCAGCCTGCTGCCATTGCGAAGGTAAATCTCAACAGAGTCTTAACAGTGATTAAAACTGTTGTTAAAGCATGTCTATACTACTAGTTTGTTGTGTGGATGTTTCGTTTTCTTTCATCTTTGTAAATTCGTGTCTTGTCTCACCCTCTCAATTATAATCACACACTGTCCCACCGGAAGTTACATAGGGCTAGGACAAACGACCTTTACAAGTTTTTTTGCATCTTTCGTTAGAACGTGCACTGGTGTCATCTTAGCTAGTTGTTGAGTGTTTACGTTTAAGTTTATACGCGTACGGCTAACACCTTGGCTAACGTGGGTCTAGTGACCGTCAACTGAGTGCTTCAAAATTTCACTGCTAGCCGCACCTTGTGATGTCTAGTGATGAAGCGGTTGAGTGACGGTGTTATGTGCTTCTTGCTTTTAGGTATCCAAAGCTTGTACATCAATTTGTCAATGGACGCGAGCCATGCACAAATATCATTTTGTGGCCAAGGCTGTAGCTCCTAAACGGGTAAGTTCATGAACATCTTCAGTCTCAAGCATCCTGATGTTAATTCCTCGTGACTGATTGTGGTGTATGCTTAACTGTTAGCTCTTCTATTTTGTCTTTTTTTATTCTAATGTTCAGGGCCGGGTTGTTTAAAGCCTGATTAAGCTAACCCAGGATTAACGAGAATTTTGATTTCAGTTTGGTAGCTTTTCGGTGAGGTTTTCTGTTTATATTGTTTGGCCTTCAGTTTGCAGCTAGAGTAACCTCAAACTACACAAAATATCATCAGTCAAAAACATTCCTATGCTAGGAAAATTTATAATTCGGTAAACTTTTAATCCTGGGTGAGCGTTAACCGGCTTTCGAACAAACCGACCCTGTTGCAGTTTGAAAATATATCGATATTGTAGAGATGAATTATTTAGCCGGTATGCATATATGGCTGTTACCCATTTCACGACGGCAGCTCTCAAAATAGTTTAATTATTGTCGGTAGTTCGTGAATTAATACCACGTTCAAAAGAGAAGTCGAACTGAATAGACCCTGAGTTCACACAATTCACTGTTAGCGAAGATTAACCTTAGAACTTTTCCCTTGGCTGTAGGCTGCGCTAAAGCAAGCCACAGAGGAACTACAGGAAACTCAAAGGGTTCTCGCGGAAGCCAAAGCTCGGCTGGCAGAGGTTGAGGAGGGCATCGCTTCACTTCAGGCCAAGTACGAGGAATGCATAGCTAAGAAACAAGAACTGGAATTCAAGACTGAACAGTGCTCTGCAAGGCTTGGTCGAGCTGAAAAGGTCAGTGCCCCTCTTGTAATTTAATAATTTTAGGACAGTTTTAAAAAACCACAGCTAAGCTTATTATGTACTTATGCTGACTTTCTGATCGCTAAAGGCTTCCGTTTTTCAAGTATTGTTATTTTATCGACACATCATATCGTGAAAATTGACTGCGTATGTTTGTTACCTGTTCTCATGCAGTTGATTGGTGGCCTCAGTGACGAGAAAGTCCGCTGGCATGAATCAGTGCTGGCGATGGATGGTCAGATTGTGAACATTGTTGGTGACGTCATGATTTCATCAGGGGTCATCGCCTACCTTGGCACATTCACGGTGAGTATACGATATAAGATTAATAGTGGAGCTCCAGCGGCCCGAAGGGCCGCCAAGCGAAGCCCCATACTTATATAGGAAAGAAAAGAAAACCCATGAGTTGATTTTCTCATGGTTATCATCGCTAGCGGTATTGCTCGTGGGCGCGTGCGCACGACGGCGACGGAGTTGTCCAACATGGCGGCCATACTCCAAATAATAGGTTGACAGAGACATGCAGCCTTTGTTTACCGTGTACTTCCTTGATATTGGACATCCTTGTTATGATCAATTGACACCTGTCAAAACAAGGTATCCGCTGACCAGTATCACGTGACCATATCGCAGACTCAAGTTTACATCTCCTCGGGGTCACGTGTTTTTTGAAGTTGACCGCTGACCAAGTGCTGGTTAGGTTAACTTGTTGGAAACGGCAGGATTGTTCTGAAGCNTCAAGTGATACTACTGTATTGGTATCACGTAAATGCCCAGCCATTGGTTAACCAATAATGGTAACCTTTATGGCATGATAGGCTACCATAGCAACAGTATAACCTGTTAAAACCACCGTTAATTTTAGCTTTAAGTGCTTATAACTAAAAAACGAGTTCGGTGACCCCCATTTTCTTTTCTTTTTTGATGCATTGATGAATGGTATTGATGAGTCGGAAATTTCCAGTTTTGGCTCCGTCACTTGACTTGTGTAAATGAATCTATCGCAGGAAGAATATTTGATGTATTACACCTATGGGTATGTTACCTCATCGGTAAACATTCACTGTTATTACCACTAAATCACTGAAGAACTTGACATACGCAACATTAGAACAAAGCTTAAAAATAAAAGCAGAAACACTTTCTCGCGTACAGACTTATGGAAATTCGTTCTATTTTATCTTTTATCTTCAGGGTGAATACCGCGTATCTATGGTAGAAGAATGGCTGACAGAATTGCGTGGTTTGGAAATCCCTCACTCGGACAACTGTTCTCTTGTGCCAACACTCGGAGATCCTGTCAAGATTCGTAACTGGCAGATTGCCGGATTACCTCGAGATACGCTTTCCGTAGAGAATGGTGTTATTGTACAGTTTTCTCAGCGATGGCCGCTGTTTATTGACCCTCAGGGACAAGCTAACAAGTGGATAAAGAGCTTAGTAAGTGTTCACCAATGATTTGCACTCGTCGTTCACCGTCTAATCAGGGATAACTTGTCTTCCAACATCTTCCGTTGAGGGTACTTTTACGACGCGTGTAAAGGCGTCTAAAAACAGTTTGCCTGATGTTGTAATAATATAATGTTAAATAACCAACCCAAAGGGTTTGGTTTTGAGCGTATCCCTCAAATAGTCAAATAGCCTAAGTCCCTCTCCGGGAGGGTACTCCCTATAATGGTCGATATGGGGAGGCTCCGCTTGAAAGGGGTACCTTTATCAGGCTTCAGGTATATAAAATGGTAGGGATTATAAAAGTTGAGGTGGATGAAAGTGTGGGGAAATCTGTCATTTAGGTACAACGAGAACGTTAACTGAATAAATAGTACTTGTCTTTTGTTTACCATCCTTTCTGGTACCACTTGATGTTCTCCCGTAATATTGATCATTAACTTCAATCTAAGGGTTTTAAAAAGAGATGCAGTATTCTTAGGTGGTTCTGTGAAAGGGTTACCTTTCTTCAATAAAAGCTATACGAAAGGGGACCCTTTGGTATACATGTACTTCGGGCGGACCCTCCCCGTACAAAACATTGTAGAGTTCCCCCCCCCCCCGGGGTTCCCGCTTATGATAATGAACTACGTTAAGTCTTTTGCTAATGGCGTGGAATTTTCATTACTGTAGGAGAAGGACGCAGGTCTTGATGTTATCAAACTCAGTGACCGTGATTTCTTACGAAGCTTGGAGAACGCTGTTCGGTTTGGTAAACCGTGCCTATTGGAGAACGTTGGAGAGGAGCTGGACCCAGCATTAGAGCCTATCTTACTAAAACAGGTGAGGGCCGATAAAGCTATCTGTGCAATGCTTTGGTTAACTTGACAGTACATCTCGTTCACAAGGAATGACGTGATGCTTCAGTGTTTATATTTTCTATACTTTGCCAAATGGAAAGAGCGTGTTTGACCGCATTCCCAAACGTTGAGAAGAGAGTCAGAAATACTCCGCTGCTCGTTGTATTTTCAACTCTCTTCTCGGTGTTTGGAATGTGGTCAGACACGGTATTTCATGTTTGATATTTTACTTCTCAAACGAAGCCAAAACTAAGGAGAAAACGGAGAAATACAATCGTAAAGATGTTAATTAAGATCAGATACCCAAATACCATCACGGTCGTGATTTCGTTTATTTAAACTTGACGAATTATTAATGAGTTTTAGAAATTTGTTTAAGTTCTCCGTAATGCTCCTCGTGAGCTAAAGGATCACAGTTAATTTTAGAATTAATCAGTCGAATTTGGTGTTAATAATGAATTTTTTTCTCCTTCAGACATTCAAGCAATCAGGTAGCACGGTGATCAAACTTGGAGATGCCATTATCCCTTACCATGATGACTTCAAGTTTTACATCACTACAAAGCTACCTAACCCTCACTACACACCAGAGGTGTCCACAAAGGTTACCATTGTCAACTTTACACTCTCGCCAGGGTAAGTGGATCTTGTCACTGTACGAAACATTCCTATTGTAAAAGTTAAATGAGCTTCGAGAGTTAGAGCCTGTTTGTTTAAAGAGGAATTTTCCTTGCTAACATGGTTATCCTCGTCTCCGAGCTATCGTTTGCCATACATTTGTGCCAATTTAAAAAACAGGCTCTGCTTACCGAGCAAAAATTGGCCTTCTATGTTTCACGGATTCTCTGCATGTCCGACTTTTATATTTCAGGCGACGCAAAAATAGCCAAGTGTTATTGACTATTTTGGGGAAAAAAATTGGCTGACCCCCAAGGTCAGCTTCACAACGACTGTCCCTCCAAACCTGAAAAGCTTTTTTCAGAGTTTCTTTTAGTGAAATAGCTTCTGTAATCTTTTTTTGTGAATTAGATTACTTTGGAGAGGATGATAGTATTCCCTCGCTTTAACATGTTATGTAGAGGATATCTAAAGTGTCAGGGTGCAAACGATTTATCAATCTTACTTCTCTTCCCCAAGAAACCTTTCACAACAATCTCAAGGTTGGCATTGAACTTCATCCAATCCTTTTAGATCTTTCCAAAGATTTTACTGTTATTTAAGGGATTGACTCTCTCATGGTGTTAGAAATGAGATTTTCTCTCGTTCTAAAGCGGTCTCGAGGATCAGCTGCTAGCTTTAGTTGTTGCTGAAGAGAGACCCGACCTGGAGGAAGCTAAGAATCAGTTGATTGTCAGCAACGCGAAAATGAGACAAGAGCTGAAGGAAATTGAAGACAAGATTCTTCACAAGCTGTCGGCCTCAGAAGGAAGTCCTGTGGACGACATAGATTTGATTCACACATTGGAGCAATCTAAAGCCAAGTCCATGGAAATCAAGGTAAATAGAAAGAGGTTCAATTTTTCCAAGGCAAACTGCTGTATATATTCCGTTTAAACCGGTATGAAATTCGTGAAGTGCCTGCCCCTTGATCCTGAAACAGCTGAAGCCTGTAAAACAGTGGACTGGTGAGAAACACCCTCGTTTCAAATGCTTTCTGTGCTTTTTGCGAACTGGACGTAATAATGTGCATCGAACTTAATCGAATGCCTTCACACACGTTGCTGTGCCCCGTGTTGCCTGTAAACTTCTTTGCTCAAGAAAGACGTGGCGACTTGATTGAATTCCATCTAAAATACGACACGCATGCTGAGATATTTCTGGAATTGAGCGCTTGCTGAATCCGAATCGAAAACTGTGTAAAAAAATATTAATGACTATAACATTTACATTTCGGTAATATGAAGATTCTTTAGCTATCCAAATCAGGCACTCTAACGTTTATTATTAACTCTTACTTTCAAAGAGAAGAGTACGAGTAGTCCCTCTTTCGCTTAGTCCGTCGAGCGTGACCCGAAAAAGAAAAGGGGAGAAAAAATGCCCACGCGAAATCTGGGGTTCGAAAATTGCGCTATTCAAAGAGTCTGACCATGAAAACGTTTTACAGTGTATGTGACAAAGGAAATTTGCGCGTTTATTTTTCAGGCTAAAGTGGTGATCGCTGAACAAACCGAGAAAGATATTGATGAGACACGCAGCTTGTACATCCCTGTGGCTGTCAGGACTCAGATTCTTTTCTTCTGTACTTATGACCTGGTAAGTACTGTTTGTGCAGTTGTTTTCTGATCAGATGGCGATCATCTGATCGTCACGTGTTAGGGGTAACTATAACTATGTACAA